GATGCCCAGCCCGAGCTGAGCTGCCAGTTGGCAGGATGGCTCAGCTTAAAAATAAATAAATAGATAAATAAATAAATAAATAAATAAATAAATAAATAAATAAATACGAATGGAAAATTCCCCGCTTTGTTTAGATTCCAGATAAGATTGATGTGTTCTCTTTGGGAAGAGAGAAAATGCCTTTTGGACCTTCATGTACAAATGGTACTTCCCATCTCATTTGCAAGTTAGATGCATGAACACATCCCCCCACAGTCTCTAGAAAGAGAGAAAGAAGCTGGGAGCCCACTTCCTCTGCTGCACCCAGGACAGTCCGAGGAGCACTGCTTTGAAAGTGGTCTGTGATAGCTGAGTGAGAGGACCACAGTGGAACCTGGGTCTCTTGGATTTTCACAAGCTGGTTAAGAAACATGAAACTTTAAGAGCCAAAATGTCTTGCTTTGGTGGTGGTGGTGGTGGGGGTGGGGGCGCAGGGGAAGGAGGGGGTTGAGCACATTCCATAAAAGTTCCTCAGGGCTTTTTCTGTGACAACACAGCCTCACCCATCAGTAGATGCTTATTTGAGTATCAGACATTGGGACTGTAACGTTTCGTGTGATTCGTGGAGTTTGTGTGTCTGTGGCCATATTGGACTTTGCAGATGCTGATTCTGCTCTCAGATGAAACATTTTTCTGGAATTATCTTGTATGCACAATGCAATAGTGCCTGGCCATGGAATGCAATGGGTTCTTGTCATCTGTGGCAGCCTGGATGGACCTGGAGGGTATTGTGCTGAGTGGAGTATGTCAGACAGTGATAGACAGATGCAATGTGATTTCGCTTATATGTGGAATCTAAAGAACAAAATAAACAAACAAACAAAACAGAAACAAACTCATAGATACAGAAAACATTTTGATGGCCGCCAGGTGAGAGGTGTGTTGGGGGTGTGAGTGAAAGAAGGGGAAGGGATTAAGAAGTACAAATTGGTTGTTACACAGTAGTCATGGGGATGTAGGGTACAGCATAAGGAATATAGTCAATAATATTGTAATAATTATGTATCGTGTCAGATGGGTACTAGATTTATCAGGGGAATAGATGGAAAGGGGCTNACTGCCTGTGGAGGGCATTTTCTTTTATAGTTTGGCCCACTTGCCGTTGAAAGGCAAGGGGATTTAGGGTACATTTTTTTGTTTGTTTCTTTTTGTCACCTGGGAGGGTGCCTGCTGTCTACTCCTATCTGGATCCCATTATTAAGGTCCTCAGCCAAGATTTCTGTGTGCTGTAACAGTAAATGATGCAGCTTCTATGGCTCCTCGGGGTGAAATTTTTGCTGCTGCTGAGTAATAAAGCTTCCTAAAGGAGACCTAAACCTTCTCACTTCCAAAGACACAAAGTATTGTTTAGAAGATTCAACTTTGAAACAAATAGAAAATATTTGATAGTCGCAACTCAGCTTCAAGTAAGCAATGTTCAGATATTGACACCCTCTGTAGTTCTCTTAAGCCCGGAGTGGCCTGCTTAGTTTATACCAGAATTAACATCTGGTGGCACTGAGCAGCCAAACAGTAATGGGGAAGCAGTCTGTCAGCAGAAGCGTCCTGTCTGGAAACCTTCAACCTTGGGAGGTTCATCTCCCTGCCCCTTCCCATTTCTTCTCTGTGGCTCCCAGTCCTGTCTCCCTTCAAGTTCTTTTCCCTGAGGAAACTTAACCCAACTCTCTTTCCCCTTTTCATAGATGCGAACCACACGCAAGGTCTCGGTCTGGCCTGTGGGCCTGGTTGGCGGGCGACGCTATGAACGTCCGTTGGTGGAAAACGGCAAAGTCGTTGGTTGGTACACCGGCTGGAGAGCAGACAGGCCTTTTGCCATCGACATGGCAGGTGAGGAGTGTGATGGGTGATGTTCGCGCCTGCCTGATTGTTCTTACCGATGCTCACATTTGTAACAGAGCACTAGAGCAAGGAAGCTTTCAGAGACCACTTTGGTTAAAACTCTGGATCGTGTCTTATTCAGCAGATGAGCAATTTAGCTAAACCTTCAAAACAGGTTCCTTGGTTAATTCAAGTGGAAATTGATTTTGGGGTGATTAGAAAATGCTCATTCAGTTCCATTTGGTCACCTGTCCATGCAGCTATCCCTTTATCCAACAAACGCTTCTGTGCCATGTGCTGGGTTGGGCATTGGGAGTTTCAGTGGTAAGAACTGGACTTGGCCCCGCCTCACAGGTCTCTGTTGACTGTATCTTTTGGTACCCCTTTCAAGAGGTCCAATTTGTTACAATATATCACATGCTTATTGATAAATTTAATAGGGATATGAAATTGACAAGCTAATCATTTTAATGCTTATTGATAAATTTAGTGCTTGTTGATACATTATTAATAGATAAAATATAAAGTTGGATTACTGTCTTTTTAAGCATTTAATAACTTCGAGTATAACTGCCTTTTACAGTTTTTATTCTCTCACCAAGCAAGTGAATTAAATAAGACCCCTGGCAGACCACAAATTCTAAAATGCTATTTTATCATAAAGTGACTCATTTTCTGTGGGTTATATAAAATGATGCCTGTGATAGCTGTGGAAAGGTGCCATTTGAAACATGAGGCTTAGAGGCAAAAAAATCACCGGCATCTGTAACCTAGAAGATGAAGGCAGAGAAGCTTCAAAAT